AAATTTGAAATTCTTGCACACAAAGTCTTCAAAAAGTTCATGGAAATGTGTATTATGTAAACACTACCTATGGATTTTGAATTTTTTTTGCACCAAAATACTTGTTAATTCATTAATTCCATTCACAAATTTTTATAAAAGATTTTCTTATTTCTTTATCTGAAAGTCAGGATTACACACAGACAGGCAGAGACAGAGAAAGACATCTCTCTATTGGTTGACTCCCAAACCAGCTGGGAAAAGTCAGTAAAATCTGGAGTTTCTTCCAGATCTCCTACATAGGTGGTAAGGGCCCAAGCACCTAGGTCATCTTCTGCTGTTTCTACCAGCTCATTATCAGGGAGTTGGATCAGGTGCATCAGCCAAGACACAAGCCGATGCCCATGGGGGATGCTGGTGTGGCAGGCAGTGTTCGAACTGCTGTATCCAAGGCCAGCTACATTTGCATAAACTTTTTGCAACACCCTTAGAGAGTCTGCCACACAGAGGTACTCTAATGATGACTGATGCTAAGGTTTGGTATGTAGGACTTGGGCCAAGTGCAGGTGTAAACTAAATGGGAGTTACACTTTGTGCCTATGGGGTGAGTGGAAAGACTTGTGACCCCTCAGGGCTTCTCTGTGGTCCTCTCTGTGGTCCTCTCCAAGCATACCTAAGAAAACCTGTCCATATTCCAAGTCAGTGCTGCTTTTACATCAAACTCCCATCTTGGAAAGGGTCTTTGCTTCTGCTTTCCAAGTTTTATGTCTGTTTGCATTACATTTGTTAGACTTTTTAATAATTATGTATTTGAGAGGCAGAGAAGGACAGATAAAGAATCTGTGTGGGCAAGAAAACAAACAAAAACATCTCCCATCTTCTGGTTCATCAGTACCTAGAAATGTCCACAAGAGCCAAGAGCCAGATCCAAGAACTCAATCTAGGCCTTCCGCACGGGTGGCAGGAACCCAATCACTTGAATCATCATCATTACATAGCAGGGGTCAACACTGGCAGATCACTCTCAATTTTTTTAGAACAGCGAGCGCTGGGCAGGCTGAAGCTAGACGAGAAGAATTCAGCCCAGGTCTCCAACATGGGTAGCAGGAACCCAGGTATTTAAGCACCAATCTACTGTCTCCCAGGGTAAACGCAGCAGGAAGTTTGATCAGAAGAGGAGGAGCTGATATGGGATGCACGTGTCCTAAGTGGTCTCCTCTTAACTACTGTGCCACATGTCTGCTCTAGATCTGCGACTTTCAAGTATCTTAACTTCAGAAGAGCAGGTCTTCAGATTTTTTTATGTTTCATTGATTTCAGAGGCAGAGAAAGAAAGAGACACAGAGCGTTTTCACTCAGTAGTTCAATCCCCACCTCAAATGCCTGTAATAGGCAAGGCTGAATTATGGCTGCAGCCACAATCCAGAAACACAATCCAGATCTCCCATACAGCTGGCGTTAACTGTGACCCTAACCCCACCCACCCAAAGTCTGCATTTGCAGAAAACTAGCCATAGGAGCCACAGTCCATAACCAAAGGCCATGTTCTCTGATGCAGCACGGGGGCATCTGAATATTAAGCTAAATGCCCAACCCAACAGATCTCCACAATAAAGAATGCTATTTGCATTACCAAGATAGCATCCAGTTTTACAGTCAGTTTCTTATTGAAATACTGCCTGTTAATTAAACTTACACCAGAATAAATGCTGGCATTATTGACAACGACAGATGACATACACGACCTAATAAAGCAAAATAACTGATGTAAGCTGAGCAATTTCTCTTAAGATTGTGTCACACATGGTTCAATAAGGAAGGTCCAAGATCAACTCCCTACACTGAGTTTGTGAAACTATTCCAAGTTTTCATCTTTCCTAGGACTGGATAATATTACCCTTGAGAAACTACCATACTTTGGGTCTCCAGGACACAAATATTTTATTTCTTGATGTAATAAGGAGGGAGAATATCGAACTCACCTGCAAAAGTTGACCTAGAAAAATCGGTCAAATGAAGGACTTCAGAGCTGCTCTTCTTAGAGTAGCCCACTGAGAGGAAGTTCAAGATTAAAATAAAGAACCTGAACCTAACAAAACCAGAGGCCCAAGCATGGGGTAGAACACAACTGCCCAGTGAGAAAACTGGCGGCACTCTGATGTTAACGAGTGTAATGAACACAGCATATCATTTCCGGAACCACTCTGCTTCAGACTTGATTCTTAACTGGAATTTTAAAACAAAACCTGAATATGCCAAAACATGCTGGTAAGTTCCAGTGTCTGCACTCGGTAAACTGAGGCCCACCCTCTGGATGATCATCTGTGCATCGCAGAGCTCGCCAGTGCAGGTATGAAAGCACAAAAGGAAGCTGCTAACACATCCTTACACGCTGGCTTGCATTTGTTTTGCAAGTACTACATGCATCCTACACACAGTGATGACACGATCCCCCCACAGGCTGGCCTGTCAATCAGCGTACCATCACTTCACATACAACATGTTCCATATTGGCTTCGCTAACATAGCCAGTGGTGTTTTGGTTTAGTCGTGCATTAAGTTAATGCGACTTCCTCGGGAACACTTAAACATGAAACCCAAAGAGCAGCAGAGTGGGCATTTTGTTCAGAAACACTGGTGTGGGGGAGGGACTGGAAGTGAGAAATGCTTGTCAGGCAGGTAAGAAAACGCACAGTTTCATTTTAAGCACATTTAGACTTAAACACATAGGTCTACAACTCCACTTCTACAAAATGATCTTCTGTTTTCAGTATATGCAGGTGAAACAGTGGATGATAATAGGTATACTTGAGAGACATTAAAATTTGTCACATCAGTTTTCAACTATGGACATGTACACGGTGATCCCAGAGATCTCCCTCCATTTTAAAAAGCGCTATAGGATGCTCCAGCAATTCCAACTGTGTATGTCCTAGGCAACATAATAGATGATACCTCGACTCCTTAAAGAGCACCCTGATAATATGCAAGGCTAAAATGTCAGAAGCTATTAGGAACTCTCAGATGCACAATATATCTCCATCCCTGAGTTTTCCCCTTACACTGCGAAACACCAGACAACAGGCATGCAAACTGCTCAGCTGCAACTGTTCCAAGTCGAATAATTACAACTTGTCAGAAAGAATTAATTTTCCCATTTCTCATAAAGATGTGTAAAAATTACCATGTTATTATACACTGACACTCTCTGGAGGCAGACACAAAATTTAATTTTGAATTCTTTCCGCATATTAAATTAAATCCATAAATAAGAGTTTAGGCATTCACTCGGAAGCATATGTTCATTGGGAGCGAAAGCCAACACGAGCCCGGCTGTAATGGCTGTTGTAATGTTTTAATAGCTCGCTTCTTCTAAGCACCAATAAATTTACATGATCATAACAGTCGTGGGCATACAAGAAGCCCATTACTGTCTGGGCACAGGCAGCAGCGTTAACAGGATGGAAAAATGGAAAAAGGGAAAAAAACTCTTAAATAAAATTAGGCAACTGCACTTGTCAGCTGCTCCATGATTGAATTTTTAATATTGTGGTCAATTGGTCAAAACAAATAATGGGATAAAATATTTTAATGTATTTGGGACCTGTTTCTGTGGTTAGACCACAAAATAGTATTTTGTTTGTTGATTTTTCAAAAAAAAAAAGGCAGGCCATTGCAATCTTGTTGTTTCTAACCATTTCCTTTTTAAAGACAAACACACACACACATACTGCAACTGTCAACCTTTTAGAGGATGTTTGCTCTCTGCGAACCTGTATTTGAAACCTATATTTCACATTCAGCTCAGTGGGTGACTCCTTTTAGCCCATGGAATCCAACCTGCAGGGAACTGCTTGGGGTGTTCAGAAGTAGGGTTGGGTCCACCCAGGTTAGTGTAGGTGCTCCTGGCCCAAAAGCTAAGAGCACCCCATGTGTTACCTCCCAGCCTCAGCCTGCAGCACATGAGGCTATTCCAATGAATCCAATGAAGCCACATCATTAAACTCTACGTTAAACAGAAAGCGCTCCAGCCTTCCAACTACGACTGGGAGATGCAGGTAGATCCTGTTTATCAGGGACTGTTTTCTGAGTAACAACTTACTTCTTAACTTCTCTAAGTAGAGCTACTCTAGCTGTAAAAACAAAACATGGTACATAAAAACTACACTATGCTTTTCACAGTGCTGAAGGAAACAGTCATGGATGGCCTCATGGTACAGCTCCACACTTGCTAGCTGGCATTTCTGATTTTAAAACACAGATTTTTAATAACCCCATGGGAAGCTATGGGGTTAGGGAAGGGACAGGCACATTACCAGGGCATTAGGGAGGGGGTCATATTCACAGAAAAATCTTTTTGTTGTTGTGAAGGATCTATACGAGTGGGTCAAATATTCTCCCATACAAATACTTAAGAGGAATGTGATTTCAACAAATGATATGAAATTACAGGTGTACATTTCTAAAATCCACTGAAGGAAAAAAGGAGCATGTGGATGCACTCTCTGGGTAAGGACTATAGTCAGATAATTTATATCCATGTGACGTGTCTTAACTGAGAAGTTCATGCCATGGAAAGATTTGTTTTATAGCTCACTTTCAAATCCTGGGGAATTTGATTCTTACTCAGTTTACCACATAAATCCATGATTTAAGACTTTTCTGAGACAAAAGGTTAAGTCTAGCAACTTAAAAAAATTTTCAGAATAACTGTTAGAACTGTGACACTTCTCCAAAGCTTCCATACATGGAAGTAAAAAGTTCTTCTTGAAAACTGAAGGTAAATGGGCACCAACGAAGTCAGCCCCGGATTTTCAATTCATAGTATGGAAAAACTGAAACAAATAGCCATACAATTCAACTAGCACACACCAATATTTCCTTCAGGTCACACACATAAATAATGATGATTTCTTAAAAAATACGTAATTCTTAAAATCTTCAGAAAAAAATGTGAAAGCATATGCGCTAGGTATTCCAAGGTGATATGAGGAAGAATATAAAACCATCAGAACATTCTGGAAAAAAACCACACACTTACCTTCTCAAAACTTCATGAAATGTCTCTAAGCCTTTCTGCAATCCTTTCTTCAACAGCTGAAAAAAACAACATATGAAAGGAGTGGTTTTTTAAACTCTGTGTGTACATTTCTTCTTCCATGACTCAATCAAGGCTGCTATTAAAATGGTTTACCAGGTAAAACATATAAATATCCATAATGTAATAAAGTGTTCTTGCATGAAGGAAAAAAAAAAACTGCCAGCAAGATATGTGAAGGGGGAAATGGCGGTGGCACCTTACTTGGGTAACGGGAGATGGAGTTTCCTGAGAGTAAGCTCCAGGAGTTCAGAAAAAGAACGCAAGCACGAAGCACAGGAAGACCAGCAGAATCCTAGACTCTAAACCTGACTTTTCCCCACTGGGGCTCTTATAAACTGTTGCCATGATCCTCTAGAAGTCCTCTGCCCAGGTCAAAGGAGAAAACATTCTCTTGCCACTCAGAATCCCAGCTGGAACAACAGAATATTTCTCTCTCAAATCCTATAAACTACTCTGTTTGATTGTTGATTATTTATATGACTGTATCAATGTGCCATATGCCCAGATTTCTAGCAACAACATAAACAGGTGACAGTGAAATTTGAGGTTACCAGGGTTTGCAATATGATTAAAGACTAGTCGGTATAATTTGAGGGGGATGGGAAAGGACAGTGTCAGCATCCAGTTGCTGAATTCATGACAGTTGAATCATATTTGTATTTAAGAGTCGTGGGTTTTGTGAATTAAAGAGGATCCGTGAAAGTTGGCAGGAGTTCTCTCTACATTCACACAAAATTCTGAAATTGAAAACGTCTCCTTTTCCTACCTTTTCCTTTTTGGACCAGGAACTACTTTCATGAACAAATACAACCTTTTTTTTCCAGATTCAGAAAAAAAATCCCATCGACCACCCAGCAGCCCATCTCTTGGGATTCAGCTTAGCTGGAAGATCTGTGAAGCACTGACTCCTCCAAGGGACATGGAATGGAGACCTCAGTTTGGTTTCAATAACTAAGTGTTGTGTCTCTAATGATGAGTAAAGTCTGGGTAATGGTAAGTGTGTTCTAGAATATACTGAAAAACATTTTTGTGGCCAGTACTATAATGGCAAATTGGCAACCTATCCTTTTTATTCCTTTTTTTCTTTATAACGGTGGGGTGGATGTTTGAGAAAGATCCTTTTATCTTTGGCAAATCTCAATAAATTCTGATTCTCATCCTCACTTTTTCCATCCACTTGGCTATTTTACCTTGTTCTTCACTGTTTCTTTTGAATTAGCAGGAGTAACAGGCACTTAATGCATTGTCCTGTTTGAAGCACATGAATATGGACAAAATAGGTCCACTTGAAAGAACTTTTAAAAACAATGCTTTGGAACATACTAGACATCATGGAGGGCAGCGACTCCTCAGAACCAGGGGGACAAGTCAGATGACCTCAAGGATTCCCCCCCGCCCCCCATCCCGGGGTTACTGTCTGAGACACTTTCCACTTTGTGGCTGGGAATTCAGGAGGAGGGATGGGCAGAGCACACAGAAGCCAACAACAAGCTCCAGCAAAGGGCAGCAGGGGCTCTCAGGACAAATGATGAGAGGAGGACACTTGGCAGAGGGCTGGGGCCACCAGTGCAAGGCACCTTAAGCACACAGCAGAATTCTGATTACTGCCTGTAAGGAGACTGCCCATGGCCGAGAGAAGAATCACCAAATAGAACCTGAGGTGGCAGGCAGCAAATAAAACCCATTTCCAGCAGCCACAATAGAAAAACAAACAATTCAGGGAGCCGTGTCAGAGCACTCAGCAGTGTTATGGTTACATTGCAGCAAATCATTAGCCCCAGAATAAATGCTGCTTTGGTCCTAAGTAACAAATAATAAAATCAAGAGCCAAAGGCTTTCTTTTGTGGACTGAGTCCCAGCACGCATCTCAAGAATATTTATAGAAGTATCAAAATTGGAGCATCGGATAAGATAAACTTTACAAAGTCTGGTAACCCATGAGAAGCAGACTGACTGACAATTGGAGGAAAAATTAATCACTTAAAAATTGATCCAGAACTCAACACAGGTGTTTCAGCTATAGCAGATCTGCAATATGAAGTCATGCATCATCATTGTAACCCTTGAGACTAGCCAAGGTTTCCACAGGCAGGGGGAAGCCATGAGGGTGCTGGGTGTGACGAGCAGAACAAAATGTCAGAACTTGTCTGTGAACTAGGATGAGTTTGTAAGGTGTGGGAAACAAGATAATGTTCATCCTCTCTTCCTGCCCCCAACTAATCTGTAAGGGTGAGACGCAAGAGAAGCCGAAGAAGAGATGGAGTCCCGGTGGCTGTAAGAAGGGGTTCAGCTGAGCAAGCAAATTGCTCATAAGCAGCTCTGTCTCAGGCCTGAGTTCAGCACTACTCTATCGCCACCCTTGTCTGAGAGATGACTGCCTCTTCTCTGGCCTTCTCTCATACTCTTTCCAGGAACCCTAAGGTAAGTGAGCCTGAAGGGCTCAGGACATGCTCTCCCACCTGAGAGAGTTTCATGGGACCATTGAATAAGGGAATGATGAGAGACTTAGTGGATGTGTGAACTACTGTCTGAGTTAAGTGACAAAATTTGAATTGTGCTGTTTGCAAAGAATAAAACATTGAAATGCAGATTATGCAAGTGAATACCTCATGACCCCTCAACTACAAGCACTTCAAACTAACTGTCCCAAAGCTCCTTGCCAGCAACTAAAATACTCGGAAGCAAATCCACCCAACTGCACCTCTATCTTCTTCCCAGATTTGCATGAGGTATTTAAAGAGGGTCCATAATCCATAAGACAAGCCTTAATGAATTTAAAATGATTCAAGTGCCCATAAAGTTCCTGCAATACAACAGCATTAGATATCATTGACTGCATGGCATACAGAACAGCCCCAAATACACTGAAAATAAGAACCTCTTTAATAAAGTAACTGAGACTCAAACTCAAAAGGCAACTTAAAAAGTATTTATAACTGAATGAAAATTCAAACACAGAATATCAAAATTTGTGAGATTCTTATAAAAGAAATGCAAAGCTCCTAATGCATATCTCTGCATGTATAGGAATGCTGTTACACAGCACAGCAATAAAATGTTTACGCCATAAGAACTTATACACACACACACACAAATGTGAGGTCATAATAAGAATGAACAATGAAGTAAATAGACTCAATGAAGTGAAAAACAAAAAATCAATAGAGAAACTCTTAGGAAAGAAAATCCAGTCCTTTGACACGATCAATAACATTGATAAACAACTGGTCAGTTTGGTCAGAGGAGAGTGAGAGGAAGACAGACTATAAGCATGACATAGATGAGAAATGAAAGAAGTACAATCATCAGAAATTCTGCAGATTTAAAATGATAATTAGGTAATAATGTGATTAACTCCATAAACTTGACAACTTAAACCAAGGAGAGATGAGCACAAAAAGATACAAATCTCCAATTCTCAACAACTAATACAGCATGAACAGCTTTATGCCTGTTGTTAAAATGAGATTGTAGTTAAAAAGGAAACATGTAAGCCCACATTGTTTCACTTGTAAATCCTACCAATAATGTAAGACTCCCCACATGGTTGCAATAGCTGGAAACTGAGCCAATCTGAAGCCAGGAACCAGAAGTTTCTTCTGGGTCTCCCACATAGATTCAGGGTAGCAACCCCTTGGGCTGTCCTCTATTGCTTTCCAGGTGACAAGCAGGGACTTGGATGGGAAGTAGAGCAGCCAGGATATGAACCCATGCCCATATGACATCCTGATACATTCAAAGGATGCTAGACTACCATGCCTGGCCCAGAAGTAACAATTTCCACACTTTCTTCTACAAAGCTGAAATGAAAGGAATACTTCTCAGGTCATCTTAATGAGGCTTGAGACTAACCAGACCAATATCACTCATACTATGTAAAAATTTTTTCTTTAAAGATTCATTCATTTTTATTGGAAAGATTTATAGAGAAAAGGAGATACAGAAAGATCTTCCATCTGCTCCCCAAGGAGTTGCAATGGCTGGAGGTGAGCCTATCCAAAGCCAGGAACCAGGACCTTCAGCTGGATCTCCCACACAGACTCAGGGTCCCAAGGTCCTAGACCATCCCCCGTTGCTTTCTCAGGGCACAAGTTAAGAAAAAGATTTTTTAAAAATTGATTCCATTATATTGTTTCAGAAAAAGCATGTTGTTTTAATGTTTGAAAAAATGGTCAAACTATTTAAAAATAAACAAGTGATCATAGCAACAGATGCAGCAAAACACGTTTCCGAGGCCCAATATTCTATCTAGAATATTTGCAATGTGCCAGATAAAGGGACAAAGTGTTAACATGTCATATCACTCCATATCATTCAGTAGATTACAAGCAGCCATTCCAACATGACCCCAGTTCCATAAAGCTTTTTAGAAGGAACTGAGATTGAGAGAGAAAAATTTTCAAGTCAGGATAAATGTGTCTGTCTCCTCAAACATTTATTATTGCATCATGGCAAAAACGCTTGAAATCCTTTCTGTTGGTTTTGTTCTGAAAAATATATACATACATTATTGTTAGAGAACCCTTCTGTGTAACAAAACACCACAACTTTCTTCTTTGTTTGAGCAGTTTGGACATGGCTACAGGAAATATCGGCAAATCACATATAGATATTTAGTTTGTATCTAAAATGTGACAAATACTCTCAAGAATCAATATTTAAAAGTAACAAATTTATGAAAGGGCAAGAGATTTGTATACATGCTTCAATGAAGATGACATGGTGGTAGAAAATAAGTACAAAATTCTCAGCATCTATTATTGAGTAAACAAATTAAAACCACAGAGAAACATAAAATATGTCCATTAGAACAATAATTAAAAGGACCCACCATAGCAAATGGTGCCCAGGATGTAAATGACCTAAAACTATTGCATACTGCTGATGAACAAACACTGGTAGTTTCTTAAAATCTTGTCATTTTGTCTACCCTATATTCCAGTCATATTTCTTCAAGGTATGCTAGAGACCATGGCCATAAAAATGCACACACAAA